AAAAAAAAACGAACTGAAACCAACAATGCGGAGTACTCATACGAGCGACCACTTGGTCAATCTTGTTTCTTATGGCAAGCGGTGCCCATGAAATTTTTCGCCTTTGGTTGTGTTCTGATTCAGCGCTACCTGACTGGGCAATGACGTCTATAGGATACTAAGGTGGACATGAAAAGTAGTTAAGTAATGTTTTTCGTCCCGCAGGATAGATTTATTAGGACGGCCCTGTCGCCCAGGTAAAGCACGAACTCGTCTACTGCCTGATTAATTCGGGTTCTTCTGTCACGGAGAAAGATTGGGGTTTTAGCATAATTTTCTTCTCACGAGCTTTGCTGGAGTGGAACCCCAAAACAGGGGCCAGTAGGACCGATTGGACTGCCCCATCTTTCAATTTTTCAAATTATTAATTATGAAATTTTGTAGTTTTTACATGTTTCTCTTCATTTTACATATTTCTCTTCATTTTGCAGAGTGCGTTCCTCTATAAAAACAGCCAGAACGCAACCTTTCTTCCTGCCCTCAGACTAACTGTCTTAACGTTTACTTCCAAATAGGAAAGATTGAAATTGTAATCATTTATTTTGTGTAATAATGATATACAAACTTTTCAGGATCCACTTTCGCTTCACAACAAAATATTTCGTTGGCAGAGGCAACTGAGTTAGACCTACACAGAGAACTTCTCCACATTATTGACAAGCATTTTGGAGAAACGGATATCTGACCGATTTTACTGTGTCCTTCGCTGTTCCCCTCCTTGGATGCTCACCTTTTAACGATTGGATAGGATGAGGCAGAGAGAAATTTCCCAGCGAGTTTCCTCTCGGTTCAAGGCAACCCAACAAAAACGAGTTATTTCTGTCTTAATTTTCTTTGATGACTATGTTCTTTTCGAGAAAGCTCAGGAAAAGCCTTCAACGCGCTGAATTGAAGCGATTATCGGAATGACTAGAGTATTATGTTAATAGGCTAGTATTCAAAAAAGTCTCTTTGTCTGTGCTCTCGTAATGATGTCACTGAGATGTTTTTGTTTTTGTCCTTTAATGTTGTTATTGTTGTTCAGCAGTATGAGTCAAACCTCATTTTGCGCTTGTAGCATCATGCTTTACGGAGTTCATGTCTGTATAAAGTCTTTTTAATTTTTTAATTTAAAGTGTTAATCGAGGTTTTAGCCATAGTTTCTGTGGAAATCTGATCATACTCACCAGTTACGGCTCTTCTGTAACTCATTACCACGGGGCCTAGCCATATGGCCTGAGAGATTTGATGGGACGTGATGGAGCTTTTTCTTCGGCTTGACATAGCTTTGTTTCAGAACACCTTGCTGTTTTTGAGCAGCTAACGACATCCTATTCACGGGTGCTTCCTGACCCGTGGGCGAAAGAAACAACGTGGGCGCTCAGACTTGGCAAAATTGACCGTGAAATAAAATGTCTCAGACGCGATACAGTCTCAGACTAAGTGTTTCATTCTACGACCAAGCGATATTTCAGTGGATGTATAATCCAAAGGTATTCACCTTCGGTAGTAGTCTTTTCTCTTTCAACTTTACATGGAATGCTATAACATGTTCTCCCCCTCCACTTCGAGAAGTGTCAACTTGCGCAAAAGAAGGCGAAGTATGTTTCATTCAAAACTTTGATTAGTTTCTAATAATCTTCAGTTGTATTCGAGGTGGTGGATTGTCAGGCAACGACGAAGTGTTCGGAGTAGTGAATGTCGTTCCTTCCAGTATGGAGGTGATTCGAATTTTATTCTTAGACAATGCTTTTTAGCATTTTCATCATTC